AGATAGCCACATGTGTGTGATTCGTAACCTGAAGTTACGAGATGATTTGATCAAAGAATGTGTATATGACATATAACCTGAAGTTACGAGATGGTTTGATCTAAGGATGACACAAGATGATTATGAAAGAATGAAAATAAGTGTCATATGAAAGTGATGAAGCTAGTAATATACTCACCTGATATGATGAACTCTTGAAAGAAAAATGTGCACACTACAAATGATATGAGTTCAAAGTCCTCCAAATATATGTTGAAATCGAGAACAAAATAGAGACTATATGAACTCCCCTCAAGAAATTCAATACTAAAAATACAGATCAGGAATCTGTTAAGATGAGGGGGAGAATCAATGATTGAAATTTGGAAATGATATATGCATCACACTGAGAGTGTGCGAATCATAAACTGTATGATACTGATGATGTGAAATATATGAAATGATACGTTGGTGGAATAATACGCTGGAAGCGTTGATATTGTGCAAATTGAAATCCCCCAAATATGTGATGAAAGGAGGCATATATAAACCATTGATGGAATCAATTGATAATGAGATATCTCAATATACTACGGAGAATAATGGAGATGAATAAGTGTCGACATAAACAAATGAATAGCGCTATATAAATAATATTGTCGAAAATGAAATCAGCTGAAATGTGAATATTGGGAATTATTGGCAATAAGACCATTGAAATCAATTGATGATGAGAATGAGTTTAAGAATAAAAATTGCACAAAGCATGATATGACATATTGTCGTGAATACCATCAGTATCTACAAATCCGAAAGAATTTATATGATACTCATGCAAATTATGGAAAAATTATTATGGTGAATATATGAAATACACGTTGTACTCTTTTTCCCTTGGCTGAGGTTTTGTCCCATTGGGTTTTCCTAGCAAGGTTTTTAATGAGGCAACAAGGATGGCGTATTCACATGAATAGTGTACTCTTTTTCCTTCATTAGGATTTTGTCCCACTGGGTTTTTCCTAATAAGGTTTTAACGAGGCATATTCATGGTATGATGAGGACTACTGGATAAATGATATGATTCTTCACGATGATAAGAGATACTGGAGTCGCTGTACTCTTTTTCCTTCGATCAAGTTTTTTCCCACTGGGTTTTCTTGACAAGGTTTTAACGAGGCAGCACATGGATATTCCACTAAAGATGATCTATTTGAGGGGGAGCTATGTTGTGCTTCCACAATGCTCAGGTTTTGTCCCACTGGGTTTTCCTGAAGAAACAATGTTATGATTTCAAGATGATCAGGTTTTGTCCTACCGGGTTTTCCTGACGTGCTGAAGCAACGGTACCTGATGGCCACAAGATACACTTGAAGATGTGCAGATTGGGCTTTGTTCAAATCAGTTAAAATATGTTTAGAAAATAGTCATTCAAGGGGGAGTGTAATGAAATAATAAAATAATGTATGTGAATGACTATTTTGCCCTCGATGTATTTGTATTATTACAAATTGTGCCATCAGGAGTTTCCTATAAATAGGAGCTTCAGTTATAATGAAAAACACACCAAGAGAATACATTTTCTCTATTCTCTCTCTTTCTCTCTAGTTTTATAACAAATCTATATATATATAATTACTGGCAAGCTTTAATAAACTTTATTCAGAGAGCAACTAATAATAATATGAGTTCATTTAATAAAAATAAGTGTTCATTTAATAAAAATATGTTCACCATTTAATAATAATAAGTAACTTTCAGTTACACAATTTATTTTGATATGTCCCATTTTAGATTGTGTCCATTTCTGTAACGCCTTTTATGTCCTAATAAATACAAAATAATTTTGTTTAATTTTGATACTATATATTTTTTGGTATTATATAAATATATATTTCATAACAAATTAAGAATGACTACAAATATCTCTATTTTCTATTGTAGTCATATAGTAATAATTTTTTTTTTCGGATATTACAAAGATACATATATATTTTGAAAAATTAAATCCTATAGTCACGAGTCGAAGAGGTTTAACGATAATGATTTGTTGTGATGGATTCTGACAGTAGGAAAACCACGAATATTGTATATAAAGTCGTGTTTAATAATATTTACGTTCACTTCTTTAAATTATTTTTTTCTTATTTATTAAGTTATGATTTTTACTTTATTCTATATTTTTAATTATTTTGTCTTCTATTATATCGTTTTCAGTGCAAATGCACGGGATAAAACTAGTAATAATAAAGTACGGATATATGATACTTCTTTTCCAATCAATATCAATAGAAAAAGGAATTGTACAAATTGTGAAGTGATACAACTGAGAAATAAATTAATTTTCTTAAATCATAAAAATCACTTGAAACACAATAATTAATTAAATCGTTAAAATAAAATAAAAAAAAAAAAAACAAATAGCACTGCGTTAATGCGCACGAACGGGCAAATACTCAGAGCCCAGTCGTCAATTGTCTGAAAAAAAAAAACTTAAAAAATATTGGATAGAACGTGGTGCTTGTTAATGTTATCGATCTATCACATACACTAGGCTTTGTAACAGGTGATATAATTTGTCACAGTGGTGTTTCGTTTTCCGGATTACCAAGCTCACTTTGTGAGTTGTGAGGACATGAATGGCAAATGATATTTAGGAATATCATGATGCACAATTAAATTCATGGTGTTTTCTCGATTATTCCTCAGCTCAGCCATCTTCATCCAGAAAACTCATTGTTAAACTTTTTTGGCCGTAACTATCATATCAAACATTAATTCATTTTTTACCATTAAACTCATTATGAAATTTTAAAAAAAAAAATCTTGAAATTTATTTTTATTGAACATCAATTTTTACAACTTTTTGATAGTATCTACATAATCAACAAATTTAAAAATTCGACCTAGTATTATTTTGTATTCGATGGAGATAAGAGATTTGCACGTATAAAAAAAATGGAAGAAAAACGTGAGAAAAAAAAAATCATTGAGTTACACATTTCATGCACATAAAAAATACATGGTTGTTTCCAAATATTTTTTAGAAAAGATCATATTTAATGAATTTATAATACTGCAGCAGGATTTAAAAAAGGAATTGATCGCTATTTTTTCTATAATGTTCTCATTATTTCTATATGAATAAATTATTTTAAAAGTATAGTCCCAATATTTATTTCTATATAGATAAATTATTTTAAACGTGTAGTCCCAATATTTTTAGAATATTCTATATTGATTATTACATTTAATTAGTATACACCATAAATCCAAATTTTTGGTAGTTATATAAATGATATGGATGAGGATAATATTAAAAAATTATTATAGAAATGAAAAATTTATATAACAAATATTGCATAAAAAATAGAATAATATATAATAATATAAATATAAATGTAAACTCTTATCCAAAAGTCAATGTTCTACCGGTCAACATTGAAACGGGAGCCAGCCCTGTAGAATTTTTTTTAGTAATATAGTATACATGTTATAGGGTAAGACGTTGGGTTGATGATCTAACGGTTACAATCCCAACGGAATGGTAGCATTTTCCCATGTTATATATGTATAAATGTTTTATTATATTGACATAAAAAATATATATTATTAATTATTATGCAAAGTTATTTCAATATAAAAAAATAAATAAAAAAATGTTTAGAATTATTTAACCTTCAATAGTAGTTATTTTTTGAGTTGTGGAATTTATGATTATGTTATACTCAACTTCTTGTTTATTTCCTTTTCCCTCCCAAATACATAAAGTCCCTATTCTTAAAATGAGAATGTGAGACTCAACCCTAGTCAAGATTTAATCTTTTTATTTTTTTAATTGGTTAAATATTGATTTGTCTGTTGACTTGTGCCCCAGTTGTCCTTAAAGTCTGTGTCTGCCTTGTATTGAAATATCTTGGATACCATCTACCCTAACCTCAACTCGGACACCATGAAATTAAAAAAAAATTAAAATTAAATAAAATTGCCTATGAGAAACAAATTATTGTGTATTATATTTATATTTACTGTATTAGCCTTATAGTATTTATAATCCTAAACGTGTTACATATAGATAAACAAATTCCTTTGCATGGCATGTTATTGTGTATTATATTTGTATTTATTGTATTAGTCATGTTTATTCTAAACTTGTTTATATATAATGCGGTTTATTTGCAATTATTTTTATTCGTTGGAGAACTCTTTTCTTTTGGGTTTATTGTAACTATTTATTTATTTATCACAAAATAAGTGCAAAAGAATCAACTTCTCCCCAACACCCGAGTCAAAATTTAACTGAAACTTGAGTATGACCGAGTACGAGTCAAGCTCAAGCACCCCAAACTTGAGTTTATATGTAATAAGTTGGAGTACTCAACGAGCCAATCGAGCATAAATGTAACTTACCTAAATACTCCCAGGCTATATTTAAGCCAACATCTGAGAAAAATATATTATTTGAATTAGAAAATGTGTATTCGAAATTCGAGCGAAATTAGAATCGATCTTAAGTCAATCTTGAGCATTTGTATACTTATGTCAAGTCAAGGCAAACCTTAACAAATTGACTTCATCGAGCTGATCCTTGAAAAGCTAACCTCGTCAAGCTCATACAAATAAAATATTAAAATTTCAATATGTACACATACTTTTATGACATACTTAAAAGAACATGTCATTTTTTAATATAAATATGCATTTTTATTCATCACAAAATCAAAGTGTCTCACACAAAAAATTAATGAACGGCTAATGTGGGTCCTACGTTTTAAAGTCGCACTTGGATATGTGTGTAGAGGTGTGAGAGAACGAAGTTCAGGTGATGCGACTTTCCATTTATCTGCATAAACTTTTAATCACTGTAGCAACTAACTTTTGAAGTCATGAATCCAGTTATCTTTGTACTTGCTTTGTCAATCTGTTATCTTTTGCATATAGATTTCAGATTTAGTTTAAGGGAGAGCAAATTTGGAAGAACAGACTAATGATTACTCAAAATTTCAAAATAAAACATAAAATTTCATCACTTTCTTGCAAGTACTTCTCTCATAACAGTAAAGGTTACACTAAATATTTCTAAATAAAAAAGCGGATTATATCGATGCAAGGAAATCCTTATTCCCCTCGTTCTTACAGCACAAGAATTTCTTCATGTAATAAACAGCCTTTCCTTTACATTTCTTTTTACAAATCTGCATTTACTACACGGCGTGGGATTCAGTCATACAATCCTTCTTGCTCCCAAATATCGACCACAAAATCGACCATTTCCTGTTATGTTTTCTTCGTTTGGTAAGTCGGATATCATAGCCACCGCAAACCAACACACATAGGAGTGATCAAATCAAAGAACAAGAAAACCAAAAAAAAAAACATACAATACATGAAGAGGAATGGGATGGGGAAATGGCTTCTTCTTTCCGAGCATCTTATCGTAAGCTGAACTCTCTCCACAACAAAATCTCTTACCTATACAAAGACACAAAGTTCTAGAAAAGGAAAAAGAAAAAAAAAACACATATAAAAGAGGCAATGAGCATCTCCATTCGTTACATGAGCAATTTTACGAGAACAAAATAAACAAGAATGATCAATGATAATTTACTCGGATAAAGAACTTGATAACAATACCTCAACAAATTTTCAAATTCACATGGATTAATTTAACTGTTATCTGTTCACATAACTAGATAATATTGAAATCAACTCACCTTAATTTGGGTATACGCCACTTTTTCGAACGAGTTACATCCTTTTTACTGCCTATCCATTTCTCTCTTTCCTGGTTCCAGAGAAGAAGACCTAAATCCAAAGCCGTTTCGAAATAAAAAACTCTACTCACATCATATCCCAAAAAAATGTGAGAAATGAAATTCCACTATAAAAAAAAAAAGTGAAATAAAAATCCAATTCACCATGATTTACGAATGTAGGTGGTTTCATTGAGTCACCAGCACAGTGAGCTTCATGCATAGAAATCTGCAGATTATTTGGCATGCTTTCACATGAAGGAACTTCGTTGTAGCTCATCTCTAATAAGTAAGAGTTTCCGTTATGCTTTTCTCAACAGCTCATTGAAAAAAACGAAAATCAGTTTGGGCTAATAATCAAACCCAAAACAACAACTGCCCTGTTCCAAATGATATTGTATAAGCAGTTAAAACAAACACCACAACAAAAACCTAAAACTGAAATAGATGACCAACAAAAATAATTTAAAATTTTATTAAGATAACAGGAGAAAAGCAATTTCTGAAATCATAATTGCTAGCAAATATTCGGAATATTTCCTGCATTTTCCTGTATTTAGCAAAAATATGATACAATATCACTAATGTCAAATGTTTTAACAGTACATGTGCGTATTACATAGCTACTACATACAAATTGACTAAAAATAAAGAAAGATTACATTTTGATACACCGTTGAACTAAATGTCAAGGAGCTTAACTGAGTCAGCTTGCATGCTAAATAGACCACAATTTGTATCAACTAATCTCTGTATCGACTAATGAAAATATGTAATCAATTAATGTCATATCAATATGAGTGATTTTGGCAAACAAACACATACCATCTGTAAATTGTAAATGAACGACAGTACAACAATATTCCTAGAGTCGTTACTCATAACATTAACACAACCAGAAAAGTTAAGATTGAACAATAAATAAATAAACATAGTTTTATAAACCTAGACCAGCCAAATTTCGCACCAAATATTACCCCATTCATACTCATTGATAGATAAAAGCTTCACAAACATGTAATTTGGCACATCATGATCATATTTAACTGCGTGAATTAACAAAAGTAAATAGCCACCTCTGAAGAGCTTACCCTCAACAAATCTTTAAGAAATGATATTGATATAGGGCATTTTAGTTTTTACTAGTGTTTAGATATGCAGCTTTTGTACTGCTCCTCTTTACAATGTGATTCAAACAAGCTAACTATAAACTAAACAACGAAGATAAACGGATTTTATCAAAGTAATATGTGTACTTACGTTCGTATTAATAAAGCATCAAAATACTTGATTTATAGAAAAGATCCAATTTTTCTCTCAATTTAACAATAGCCAAAAAGACAGAACCAAACCAAAACAACAAACAACACAAAAAAGTTGTTGACTTTTGCACCCAGGACACAAGGAAAAAGCGAAAAAATTCAATTCCAAACATCGTCACACACAAAAAAGTTAGAAAAAAAAAATGCATACCCCATGCGAGCAATAACATGAAAAACCCAAGCAGCAATCGACCCGACCCGCAAAAAAGCTCCCAGCATGAACATCGATGGCAACAGGAAGGTTTAGACTGAATGGGTTTAACAAAAAACCCTGAAATTTGACGAACATTCTCACATTAGTTATTTTTTCATTTCGAATTAATCAAGAAATCAAAGGTACCCGTATGTTGCTGTCAAAATCTCTCACCGGAGAGAGAAACCCATATGCGATTTTCTCTCCTCTTTTCAATTTTGGTCCTTCCTGAAACCGATGGATTATAAGTGAAGCGTTTTTTTTTTTCGCTCTTTTTTCTGGAAATCTCTGCCTGGCGGCGAAGGGGAAGAAGAAACTGTGTTAGCTACAACAAAAGTTATTAAACAAAATAAATCAGCAAATAAATAAATAATAAATTTATACAAAAAGAAGTAAAAGAGACGGTTAATAAAAGGAAGGGTCATTTACTCATGTTAATCAATCTATACTTATATTAAAGGAGTCCTATTTACCAAATTAATAACTATAAATGTCAACAGCATTTATTGTCATTACCATTTTCATATTATACATTTTTATTTAATATTTGTTATACTTATATTAAAGGGAGTCCTATTTACCAAATTAATAGCTAGAAAAGTCAACAGCATTTATTGCTATTACCATTTCTATATTATACAGTTTTATTTAATATTTGTTTTTCTGTTATGATTTTTAAAAACAGACATGGTCAAATTCTCTCATCATTAATTACAATTTATTTATTTATTATTTTCTTAGCAAAAACGGACCAACATTAATTGATTTCCTTAAGATGTAGAAGTTGTTGCTTTATTTTTGTACAGAAAATCGGGCTTCATTATAGAAATTTGTTCAATTACACAATGAATTTGCTATGATATACTCCCTCCATTTTGAAATATAAGGCGTATAAAGATTTCTCAATTTATTTGAAATATAAGGCGCGTTCAAAAATCAAGACAAATTTTTGCATTTTTTTCTAAATATACCCTCATTGTGTTGAAATTAAGGAAGTGTGGAGTGGTTGTGATTAGAGTAAATAAGGTTAATTTACTCAATTTATTCATTAATTAATATCTCCTTAATATTTGTGCAGTAACCTTAAATGCCTTATATTTCAAAATGGAGGGAGTAATTATTTTTTATGGGAACTTTTGTTTTTAACAAAAAAATATGACATTTCAATAAGATTTTCGATTTTTTAAGACTGATTGTTATCATGCTATGAAATTGAACATTCCAATATACCTTAACAAAATATATACGTGGTGTATACATCAGTTAATAGAAATATAGAATCCTCATATTTTTATATATATGTATGTAATTTTTCTATTACCAAATTTAATTGATAGTTGTTGTGTTATGGGTTTTTCAGAATTGTTATTTGGTTGTTGTGATATTTAGTTTGATTGGTGTTGCAAAAATTCTAATCTATATATATAATAAGACTAATCATTACAATGCAAATTAGAAAAATATTGATATTAGAAGAGATTGAGTTCATGACTTTTCTTAAATCAAAGTTGTTTAATTAGTATACAAAATTAAATTCTAAAAAATATATGTGTATATTTTATACATTATTTATATACTATTTAATTTTAAATTAATTTACATATTTTAAATTGATTACTTATATAAATAATACCAACGTGCATTAAATATATTTCATTACATAAAATAAAAAGAACAAGAAGACGTGCAACTTGTATAACTTTATAAATAATAATGACATTATATGGCAACAGAGTTTAATAATTAACTATTATATAGTGAATAAGAATAAGTAAAATTGTTATTTTCTCTTATATCAAGGAATAAATATATATAATAAAATTAAATTTATATTAGTATAAATGCGTTAGTGAGATAATATATTAATTATTTTATAAGTTAGCCCTAACATGCTCACGTTTAATGTTCTGACTAATAAAACAACGTTGATTAAAAGATGTGAAAAATAGATTAAAACCCTATTTTTTTAGACTTAACGGTGATTAAAAGAGGTGGAAAATAGAGGATAACTCTTTTCAGACTTAAACGAGACTTAACGCTGATTAAAATAGTTGAAAAATTGATAATAACCCTTCTTAGACTTAGACGGACAAAACCTGTGAAAATAATTCATTTAATATCTTTCACCCGTACATCGCACGGGGTACGTACTAATTACTTTTGATAATAATAATTACAGTTTTGTTAATAAAATGTATTTTCCACACGATCTAATTAAGAATTACGGAAATAATATTACTATAAGAATGGTGAGAATTTACTGACTAAATCAAAACAGTTGTCTTTAAAGTAAAATGGAAGAAGCATAAAATGTTTAAACTTATATCATAGTAACAAAGCACAATTTGTATGTGAAAAGAAAAAAAAAAATCAAACAATAATTTGTACAAATAAGTATTATATATATTGATCACTTTTTATATAGAATGTCTTTTTCTTTGCTTGCAATTCTTCTCACCACATATTAATAATTTTAAAGTTATTTATTTGTAATTCAAACAATCAAAACATGCGAAATAATATTTTTGGTTTAGGCTATTCTTGCTCTTGTTTATTGTATTAAATGCCCAATGGATTAACAAAAGGAAAAAGCTACTTGTATAATTTTTTTTTACAACATTCAATTACAACATGATGTGGCATAATATTTATGGTTGAGACGCAAATAAATGTATGATTAACTAATATTATGAACTAATATTGTAAACTATAATTGTACATGTAGCATTGTACACATTATCTAACCAATAATTACAGAAAGAAGAAATAATATTACTTGAAAAATGGTCTGAAATTAGTGACTAAATCCAAATAACCGTCCTTAAGTAAATGAGAGAAATATAAAAGGTCCAAAATATTAATGAAATAAACATCTTGCTACTTAGTGGACCTCAAATATTGTTGACTAAAGACTTTTATCACTTCAAGATATTATGTTATTTTTTTAGCCCAGAAATTCATTTAGTTGAACCTGTCCATGTTTTGGGCCAAAGGTCACCAATTTGGTAATAATAAAATATAATGGTTCGAATGATGTGATAATAGTAAAGG